TCAGCACCATGGTTGTGTAGCCTGAAAAGTGCAAGCACACCGATTTGGAAGAACTGGCTTACTTTGAGTGTCACCATTTACTGCGATTCAGCCTCTCTAATCTTTATCCATAAAGTGGGATTCTTTCCAGGAACAAGTAAATGAAATCGTATGTGGGCATGCTTTGTAAACGATAAAGTATTAAATTGATGTAAGATAATTGTTTTGTAATTATATACTTTGGGAGATAATTTCATATTTAATAAGAGTGGAAATCACAAGTTAGATAGAGCATCTCATATTAAGTGGAGCTAAAATCCTACTATGAAATTATGTAAAAACAAATAGTTTCGGAATCCTATACATAAAATAAAATTACGTTTGTTAAGCTCCCTGAAGCTTAAATTGAGATAGAGTAAGGGGAAAAAATTATAGTTCAAGACACAAATGATCGGTTCTTCAGGGGAGAAGAAAGTTCCCTGTCAATCTTTAATAGCGAGCAGGTTTTAAAACTAGGTAAACTTAGCATAATAATAAAACTTCAAATCATGTCGAAACCATGCTGATGTTATATGCAAATGCCCAGGTCCAGCATTAAAATGATGGTAACACGCATAGATGACTGAGAGCTCAAGTAATGTCTCAGTCTTGCAACATCTTTTCAGTATTGTAAGATTTTTTTTTGAACTTGAAATAATACACAGTTCTATCAAACTGAACATTTACATTTTGAGAAGTCTGTATGATACTGATGTTTATTTGTATGTTTTATTGATGTATAGGTATTAAATTTTAGTAGAAGGAAGAACAATGAGAGAATTGAGCCCACCGATGGCCTACAGTTGAGTAAACTGTCATTTGCTAAAAAATACTGTTAATTTGGGAACACCATTTCTGAAGGTTAATTTCTTCTATAGCCATATGTAACACAGCAATGTGGACCCCTGTGAGTGCGATCCAGTGCCACGTGTATATTTATATCCTTGCTCCAACCGGAAGTCTAGAGTACCTGATGTATACAGCGTATTGCTCTTATGATAATTCGCATTGTCTGCTCAGTGTGTTTTTCTTATGGCTCTTGCCAGCTAAGTTTGGGGGATTTCACTTAGTCACTGCTCTGTCAAGTCAATTCTGTCCTTCTGCTTCCGTGCAGTGTAACAAAACGACATCCAGAGCTTATCCAGATGAGCAGAGAGCAACTGAATTGCCTTCTGCTCCTTTGTTGAAGAGGAGAGAAAATTCTTCAACCCGTAAGTGCTGAGAGAGCATCATACTATTCTTTATGGTAGATTAATTTCAGCACCACGAGTTCCTAGGAGTGCAGAGTCCAGGGCAAATCATACTTTTGTACAGAGGTCAAATCAAGTTCAAAGGACGAGCTCTTGAGGGGAGCCGGAAGCCTCCAAATACCCAACTGAAATAGAGGCTGTGCAAATGGGGCCTGCAGCCCCTGGGAACTTGCCTAGGTGACTGGGAGGAGAATGGTTGCGGGCTCATTTTAAGCCACTTCTTTCCTCCCTGAGGCTACTTCTCAGGGTCGTTCCTGACCACAAAATTTAGGACAGAGAATCACAATCACCCCAATACTTTGATGTCATAGGGACCGCCCTTGACCAGAATCAGCTTCGTGGGCATGCAAAGGGCCTCAGGCTTACGAAAGCCCTGCATTTGGTTCAATGCTCTACTTTCTCGGTCTTAAAATTCTTTATACTCACTGAACAAGGTGCTTCACTTATTTATGCACGTATAGACCTTGTGAACAAAGCCATGAAGCATTTTTAACACAAGGAAACCAACAGTGCCTCATCTTATTGCACTTTTACCAGTGATAAATGAGTCAAAGGAATTTAGGGCTGGAAACAATTAGGCTGAGATTAAAATGAGCCCAATTTTTAATAGAAATTAAATTTTAAGTGCACTGTGTTATTGCACTTCAGGGGTCCTTTTTTTTTTTTTAATATCTATGGTTTCTTCTTTCTGCCTCACTGACCAGAGTATTTTGAGAATAGCAAAATGTGGTTTGCTAGAATTTCAAACCAAACATACAGAGTAACTACATAGAGGTTACTATAGGGTTTTTGGTATTCTGTTGTTGTTTAAGTGAGAACACCTGGGTGCAAACCAAGGTTTTGGATAATAGTTATCTGTTCTACTGAGGAGGGCTGGTGCCAGGCCTACACACAAGTGTGAAGATGGTGAGGCTCACCTCTGGACCTCCTCTCTCAACATCCCTTTAGCCTGTTCTGTTTGTACTCCTTTCTGTTCATCCCCAGAATGGTTAGATTTCTGGAAAACCTGCATGTAAATTCTTCTGCTCCCCCTGCCAACACTATCTGACCCAAAAAGCGACATCCCATTTCTATGTGGTTTGTTCTCAGTTGACTTTCATGGTTAGAAAGCTATCTGATAAATAACCGCTGTGAAATTATTTAGCTGGCACTGACCTAAGGTGTGGATTCTCCTTGGGGTGCTTTGTGCTTTAATATCTGCAGGCCTTTGGTTGTACCTCACAGGGAGCTGCCATTGTGTCTGCTTGTGTAATAGCTGCCACGATGGCCACGTGTGGCTGGGAGGACAAGCCCTGCAACTATTGCTTTAGTTCAGGCTGAACCTGATGAGCTCAGTAGCTCATCCAGACTAATGATTCAGACCTTGCCACCCTGTCCCACTTACAGCAGATGCTAATGTACAGAAAGATGATGTACTTGACATAACCCCCATTCTCCTTCCCCAGCCTTCTTGCTGACTTTGCTTCCTAGGTCACTGAGAAAATAGAAGTAATTACCAGAGAACTTTCACAAGCTCCCAGGGCAGCTCTCCTTTGCCAGCAGCTGCCCTCCCACGTACTTTCTGGCTGTGCTCCTTCCTAATGATTGATTATCCATGTTCGGGTTTGAAGTCACTGGATCCCATCATCACTCCCTGCTCAATGTCACCCCTCCAGGAATTCATCTGTCTCTTCTGGATCATCCCCATCAACGTGCACATATGCCATTCTTTCTTTTATCTTACAAACAATAGGAAAAAGAACACATCCTCTCTTGACCCCACTCCCTGCTCAGGCTCTTGTTCATTTCTATTTTCCCTTCACATCAAAACTCCTTGAAAAGCTTCCTTATACTTGTCTTTCCAACGTCTTGCCTTTCATTTCCCTTCAACCTACTTTGGTCAAGTGTTTGTTCCTAATCACGCCATGAAAACTGTTCCTGTCATGTTCACCAGTGACCTCCATGCTGCTCAACCCCATGGTGAATTCTCAGACTTCACATCACCTGACCTGTCAGCCACATTTGAGACAGTTCGTTACTCACTTCCCCTTGAACGCTTTCGCTTTCGTCACCTGGCTTCCAGGACCTGGCGCTCCCGATTTTCTTCCTACCTCACTAGCTGCTCCTTCTCTTTCCTTTGCTGACTCTTCCCCATCTCCCTGTCCTCTTAACAATGGAGTCCTCCAAGGAAAGTTCCTCCAACAATTTTTCTTCTAAATCTACACTTACTGCCTTGGCCATCTCATCTAGCCCCATGGCTTTAAATATCACCTATAGGTGACATACTCTCAAATCTGTCTATAGCCCAGACCTTTCTCTTGAACTCTAGACTCATCCAACTATTTATTCTACTTCAGTATCTAGTAGGCATCTCATGCTTACTCCTGATAGGTTCATTCTTGATCTTCCTTCTCCCTCAATCTATTCTCACTAGGCTGGCCAATGTGATTCTATCAAATCTATTGAATAGGGTGGATCACACCACCCTTTTATTTAAAACTCCCTAATGACTTCTGTCACTCTCAGAATAAAAGTCAAAGTCCTTACCATGCCTTATTACACTCCACCCAGTCAGCCCCAAATCCTCTTTGCCTTCTTTCCCTAGCGCTCATTCTGTTAGCCACACTGCCTTCTAGCTGTTCCTACTCATGCCTAAAGGCCTTCCCATTTGCTCTTCTGCTTCCCCACATAGCTCATTCCCCAGATGTCTGCACGGATTGTTCCTTTGCTTCCTTCAGATCTCTGTTCAAACATTACCTTCTCATTCAGGCCTTCTTTGACCATCCTATTAAAATTACAATGCTCCTTCCTACCCACCTTCCCTAATTTCTCTCTCTCTCTGTGACACTTTAACTCCAGGTTTTTCTGTTTTATTTCATGATCTGTCTCTCTCACCCCAGAATCTAAGTTCTGTGAGGGATGGAATCTGTTACCTGATGTATCACGAGTGGTCAGGTCAGCACCTGGAGCCATAGTAGGTGCTCAATACATATTTGTTAAATGCATGATGATTTATCTTTCTACCAAAGAACATGGCCTGCACATCCTTCTCCAGAAAAACCAGTTTTCCGAAGATAGGGATCAGATTAGGGATCTGTTAGTTCTTCTTTACAGTGTTGAAGGGACTGCTGTAAGGTACACTGCTGTGTTTGTGTGACGGGTAGAGCATTTGCTACGAGCCCTCCCTGTTCAGTCCGACCATTCACACTTGCCCTTTCGGCTAACCATGTGAAACTGAAATACTGTGCAACGCTTTTACTGTTTGTTCCCAGGTATTCTTTTTACTCTGTAATAGTATGTATTTTTGCCTTCCATGAAATGCCTCTTTTTTTTTTTTTGAAATGCCTCTTTTTAAATATGTTATTTTAAAGATTAAGCTGGTAAGTTGTTGCAATAAAATAGCCTTCAAGATGGACATATTATCATATCTTGTATTTATTCTACTTTCTACTCATATTAAATAAATTCACATTTAAAATAAATAATTGCTGCCCACTATAATAATACACTTTGCTTTCATCAGAGGTCGTAGCAAAAAGTGACTTCAGGAAACACTGACGGGGGACAGTCACAACCCACCCTCATGCTGAGAGTACTTTCTTATGCCTAACTCAATAGGGCATGACATCAGATTTGAATAAATCTGAGGAAATATCTGAGAACACAAAATTTCATTCTCCCAGTTCTGACACAGAAAAGGACAAACTGCCCGTAGTTATTCATTCTCCCCCCACCATTTATTCCAATAAGAAATACAGAGAAATTTGTAAACTTTATTCACAACGCAGAAGTTGAGATGAATAAAACAGCTGGCGGTGGCATCTTGTCTCTGAGTTTGATTTATAAAAATACTAGTGAGCACAATTTTCTGCATTTCCTTTGGGGAATGATGAAGACAGTCTTTTTTATAATTATAAAACTTCAGACTTTGATGTCATTTATCACAGTACCGTCTGGAATTCCGGAAATGTTCGGTCAGGGGTGACTTGGGTATTTTTGGACTTGACATTTGATAGAAGTTGGGTAACCGAATATCATAGTGGTATGTTTTTCCTGTATATACCCTGTCATTCAAGGCATAGAGTTTATCTGCAATGTCACTGCCAATTAAAACTGAGAAAAGGCGGGAGATGTAACGATGTTGGGCGAAGAGCAAATATAATTTCTTTCTCCTCCAAGACACATATCGACAATCAGTTTCTGCTGTGAGGGTTACCTAAAAAAAAATGTAAGGTCACAAAAAACAAAGATTAGGAAGCAAGAAAAGTTTTGCCTCTCTTTTTTTTTTTTTTGCCCCAGTTTTAAATTAATTTTACTTGCTGCTTTTTTTAGGTTAAAAAAGCTCACTGACTCACAATATATTATAAAAATGGAGGGAAATTACAAAATGTATTGCTATATATATAATTTATAACATGAACAATCACAATGTTGTGCCCAAACTTACCTCTTTTCAAAATCTGGGTATCTATATTTTGCCTTTTACAGAAGTGAGAGCCACTTGATACTAAAAAATAATAAAGTTGGCTAATGCCAGAAGTATTTTTCCAAGTTAGTCCCCAGACTGCAGACATTTAGCTCTACTCATTTCTGTAGCACAAAACAGAATTTATTTACCTATTCTGCATATGTATATGAATTTGTATTTGTAACAAATACACAAGTGGATGTTACATGTATTAATCGTAGGAAAACAATACACCATAATAGATGGAAACCACTGAAATGATTATCTTGAATTTACCAACATAGCAGCAGAGTAGTGACAGTTTAGCATTTTTTTTGCTAGAAAACAACTAAAATCTATCAGCATTTAAAATTTTAAGGGGACACCTAGGTGAATCAGTGGTTGAGCGTTTGCCTTTGGCTTGGGTCATGGTACCAGGGTCCTGGGATTGAGTCCTGCATCAGGCTACCTGCAGGGAGCCTGCTTCTCCCTCTGCCTGTGTCTCTGCCTCTCGGTGTCTCTCAGGAATAAATAAATAAAATCTTTTTAAAAAATTAAATCTTAAGAATCACTCATTTTGTAATAAGGGTGGACTTTTATTTTTTTAATCTTTAAAAAGATTTTATGTATTTATTTGACACAGAGAGAGAGAGGGAGAGAGCACAAGCAGGAGGAGCAGCAGAGGGAGAGGGAAAAGCAGGCTCCCCATGGGGAGCCCGATGCCACGCCACCCTCGATCCCAGGAGCCCGGAATCACAACCTGAGCCAAAGGCAGATGCTCAACCACTGAGCCACCCAGGTGCCCTACAGACAGGCTTTGAAATTCTTGGTGTTTAGATTTCTAAACGGTGGCAGTGACAGTGTTGTTTACATTCAAATCTCAATGAATTCCATTTTAATCTCCCAAAGTACAGCTAACCCAAGGAAAATCTAAGAATTTCTATCATGGACTCTCTATAGGTCATATATAATGCCCATGCCTTTTCTTGTCGCTGGACCTACCCAGTGACAGTCATCAGCAAGAGTCAAACAGAACTGGGCAGTCACGCATGTGGCAAAGTACAATTTAAAGTGAAATAAATAATAGTGAAAGGGAATAAAGGGGAAAGGAGAAGAAATGTGTGGGAAATATCAGAAAGGGAGACAGAACATGGAAGACTCCTAACTCTGGGAAACGAACTAGGGGTGGTGGGAGGGGAGGAGGGCGGGGGGTGGGGGTGACTGGGTGGCGGGCACTGAGGGGGGCATTTGATGGGGTGAGCACTGGGTGTTATTCTGTATGTTGCCGAATTGAACACCGATAAAAAATAAATTTATTATTAAAAAAAATAAAGTAAAATAGGAGTTACTGCTCTGCCGTCTGCTGTTTTGTTTTGTTCGCCTGTGTTTAAACAAAGGTGTATGGGGAAGAGGCAGTTGTCACTCTGAGGTCTAGTTATCCCTTACCTGAAAAATGCCCTCCTCCGTGGGTCTCAGGGAGTCCCATTCAGGAGAATCCAGGAACTGGAAGGGGAAAATGTAATGCAGAAATTCGCCGTCAACTGTCACTCTGATCCTACCCAAACACAAAGAACATCATTTATGAGAGGAGGAGAAGGCAAGCACATAGCTGGGGGGCACGGGGGAGGGAGCAGGACTTCCAATCTCTGATGGACTTCATGGCTTTTAAAATTTTGTAGGATAAAATATTGAATTCATACGTTACAGTTTACAGTAAGTGACAAAATCTCCTGTAAGATTCATGTACTGATGTTCCTCACACAGTTAGGATTCTGGAATATTGGGTGAAGTTCATCAGACAATGCATCAGGGTGATGATATGTGCCCATTTGTGTGTATATGTTATACTTCAAGAAAAAGTTTCATTGCACTCAGTCAGATTTTAAATTAAGTAGGAAAACACTGAAGAACATAAAGGAGTACTGCTGTAAATACCCTGTAAACCAAACAGTTAAGCTTTTTAAAGGCATGAATAATCACATTATTGTTTCCTCCCCCCAAACTTTCTGTTTTCAAAGTTTATATATATACAGCTATAAATATAAAAAATATATATGGTGCCCTCCCTGCTTCTAGCAGGTGGGCAATTCTAGCATTTACTGAAAAAAAAAAAAAGATCATTATAAAACCTAAATGTTCTGTATTACTTAAAGGAATGCCCCCATCAGAGTCTATTTAAGGTACTCTGCATGCCAACATAAGTCTTCTATTAATTCAAGCTGGCATCGTCCTCTTCTTGACTCTCAGTGATTAGCCTGGAAACAAATCCAGACAAACCCATTTGTACATTTGATTTCTAAGAAGAAATATTAAGGCTCAAGATTATATCCTGCTTCAGGTAAATAACAGCATGTACTCTAAATGTCTATGTCCACGACTCACGTGTGTGTCAAGGAGTTTCTCATGCCCAGTGCTAAAAACTGCCCAGACCTATGCTATGCCGAGATGGCAAAGTGTAACAGAAAGAAACTCCAGCTAGTAGCTAATATAGAGGAAATGACTAATATAGAGCAAGCGCCAAGAGTACAAACCTTCCCGAAACAAGCAGGGAGAGTTTATCAATGGAGGTTTTCCCCTGCATGGCATAACAGTGTTCCTTCTCCAAAGTAACCACTTCAGAGCTCAGAGCAATTGTTCTGAAGACGGGCAAAGAGGTCCCCAGCGGCTGAAAAAGGGAGCTGTACAGTAGCTGGAATTCTCGAGAAAAAGTGATGCTGCGAACTTGATACGCAATGTGAACAAATTGCATGAAGCAGATGACAAACAGGACAAAATTCCAGGAAAATATGTCGGCTGCACAGACATCTACCCAAGCCCAGACAGCAGAGCAGAGAAAACCCAACCCCAGCAAACTGAAGACGTAAAGGAGCCCGAAGAAGCCACTGCCACCCATGAAACCTACTACAAATAAAATACTGGCAAGATGGTAAATGGCTCCTTCGGCCTCTTGCTTCCAGGTGGTGCAGACTGGGTGTTCATCGATTAGGTTCTTCCATAAACTTGAATTTCTTTCCATGGCTGTGCTCCTGTCTGGCTCACTTTTCAGTTGACACGAGAGGATCCTGAAGCAAGTAATTAAGTCCTTTGCTTTTCCATCATCAGCGTCTGGCCATGTCTTTATAAAACCAGAGAAGGCCTAGATGCTGGCGTCGTAGCGATTAAGGGTTTTGTGTGTATGGATCTTGAAAAGCTAAACATCCCATGCTAGCTTCTTTAAGTTCATTTGGGCTGCTGGTTGAGATCTAGTCCACAAATATTTTGTGGTTTCCTGGACAAGAAAAAGAGAAGGATCTAATTAAACAAGCACAATTGAGAGGTATATTTAAAGGGATCACCAGCATTAATATTCAAGCTGATAGACTGTTTTCTATGAAGTTAGGCTATTTTAAGCATGGGTCAAGTGTTAAGTTTCTAGGATGGAAAATGTGTATTCTCAGGGTTATGCTTAATAATGATAATAAATTATTCACCAAAATTTTAGTATTTGTGGGAATTAGCTACCTGCATATTCTTCTAGAAAGTTAGGTGCCATAATCAACTGGTCTTCGCAATAAGAGCTCGGTGTGCCTCAGAATCACTTGGGACAGTGACTAGAAATGCAGATTCATAGGCTGTGTGTAGGCATACTGAGTCAGAACCACCGAGGGTGAGGCCTATGTGTTGGTATTTTGACCATCCTCCCCCCCCCACATGATTTTGATGCATCAGTCCATGGCCTTTCATGGCCCACCCTCTGAGAGAGATGTTTGACAATGTTATTCACTCTCTACAGATGAGGAATTTGGGGCTTAAAGAGGCCAATTAGTTTATCCCAGGTCACACAGTGGGCGGGGGGATCACAACTTTGGCCTGGATCCTGGATCCAATCACCTGGCCTCTCATGAAAGGTATTGTAAATCAGGCGCTGTAAGGAGCCCTAATAAAACAATAAACATAAACACATGATTAGGAGTCAGATTTTAAGAGCACATGGGAGACTGTGAATATGCTTAGTGAGTTAGATCAAAACTATTTGAGAAATGTCAATTCAGATCTACGTCACCGTATTGGAGGCTAGTTCAGGTTTAAAGTCTGCAGCCATCTAACTAAATAAATAATATTAAAATTCCTGCCACTTACGCATTTATTTACCAGATGGTCAAAAAAATGTTACCGACTTGTTCCTCTGCACATATATTCTCTACCCTTTGAGCCATATGGTAAAAATGCTAATGTGTGATCTGAGTCAGGAGCGATTTAACCAGGATGATAGAACGGTAGGATATGTATCATTTACCGCCAGGTTTCTTAACAATAAATAGTTCCGATGTGAAGCATTCATTAGATTGAATTTTTAAACCATGACAACCTTCAGAAGCCTTGAACTTAAGGGCTATATTTAGTGTTTTTATTTTTAAGATAGATTATTTCCAGAACACCTGTTAATAAAATATCGGATATCACAGATCTTGTCTCATAGGAAAAAAAATACACACAGAGAGGTGAAAATGACTTAGCTGAAGTAAAAAGAGGGAACAGTGTAATCACCAACAGAATTAGAAATGGGAATAAGGCGCTGCTACTGTTGGAGCTCTTGGTTTTTCACCTTGGATAGTGATTCTTTTCTCCGCAAGTAATGACTTTAAGAATGTCACCAGGTGAATCATTAAAAAAAAAAACAACTCAGATCTACAACTTATATTGTTATTTGTACTTCAGCGACTTTCACATGTACTCGAAACATCCCGTTTAAAACATCCTCCTAATTCCAGCCTCCCCCCATCACTCTGTGAGATGATGAGATTCCGGGCAGACCAGCTCCTTGAACGTGTTCAATTTCTCCTCTTTAAACACAACACAAAATTATCCACTACTGGATACTCACAATAAAGAAAAAAAAATTTTTTTTAGTACAATGAATAAGTAGTGAGAACTGCAGAACTCCAGACTGCAAATGTCAGTCTCCCTGCTGGTTTACTTTTAAAACTAGGGTATTTTAAATGAATCAGTTCCTCAGGATACCCAACATAGCCACCAAAGCTGATATTAAAAAGCACTGCGGGCAGAGCTCTGAACTTGGGTTTGAACTCCCTTAAAAATTCATAATCCCCAACAAAATGTTAAAATGATGCTGAAAGAGAAAGGCCATGTAAAACCTTTGCGGCCATGCAGAAGGAAGTGTATGGGAATCTCGTCCCCTGAAGATTCTGACTTGGGGGACAGACTGGGCCACCTGCATTCCAGGAGTGTGACCCACTGCCATCCCAAGAAGAACTGTGCTTCCGGCCCTCACCAGCCGGCTTCTGTTTCAAGAAGCTGCAACCAAATCCTCCTCCCCTCCTTGATACTGTATCACTCAGCCCAGCAGCACAGAGTGCTGACTTGCCCTGATTAAATTACTCCACACCCAGCTTTTCTCCACTTGGTGTGTTTTTATTCAGTCACCAAAACAGATGTATTTTATTAGAAGAGAGAACTGACAGGGGCAGGTGACGGGCATGAGTGTTCCCCTGACATGTGCCAGCAGCACTGTATGGCTGAACATGATTCATCCACCAGCTGCCTGCTTGAAAGGCCTGTGGGCCTTAAGTCATGTTTGTGAGTAAATAAATGTGCAATGCCTAAGCGGCACAGTGGATCTCTCGGGCAATAAAGCCCCATCTTCCCTGCAAAAGAAATGGGCACACGGAGCTACAAATGATGGAAACATTAAGTGCGAATAAACACGTGAGTTCCAAGCTTCCCCCTTTTTATAATAAGACCCTGAGCTATAAAGGAATAGGGGCATTTAAAGGTGCAGCCCTGGTGGCCCAGCAGTTTATTTATTTATTTTTGTTTTTATTTTTTTAATTTTTTGTTTTTTATTTTTTTGGCCCAGCGGTTTAGCGCTGCCTTCAGCCCAGGGCATGATCCTAGAGACCCGGGATCAAGTCCCACATCAGGTTCCCTACATGGAACCTGCTTCTCTCTCTGCCTCTCTCTCTCTCTCTGTCATGAATAAATAAATAAAATCTTAAAAAAAAAATAAAGGAAGGTGCAAGGATGCTCTGTGAAACGTGATGGAGACCTGTTTCCAACGGATCAAGACGGCCAATCGGTTCACACTCGTTATCTCACAGCATCACACTTGGTGCCACGAGGGAGGCAGATGCTAAACCATCATGCCCTACTCACAGATGGGAAAGCAGGGCCCGGGACTGGCTAAGCAACCAGCTTCAGGTAGGAGAGGCAGAGAGGCACGGCTGCAAGGTGGAAGGCCTCTCCTCTTTCAGGGCCTTGCCCTGGCCAGCAGGCAGTGCCACCTGGCAAGGCTGTGACTTGATAGCAGCGTGTTGGGGGACCTGGGGTATTGTCAGGCCTGGTTTGCTGGGCAAATAATAATCCTAACACTGAACATGTAAGACCCACCACACCCGCGTGTGCTGCTCAATCCACAATGCTTACCGTACAGCCAGGGGAGGGGGGGGAACAGACACAGAAAAGCCACTAGTGAAATAATTTGCTGTATTATTACCATTACTCAACACCGACTGACTTCCTCTCCAGGCCTCCGAGATTCCCCAGGGGCAAAGGCAAATGTTTTCGTATTTCTGGCACTCAGTGAATGTTGATTGAAGGCCCTGGTATCCAGGTGCAGGCGTCAGGCCTCCTCCACGCCTACTCTCTATCCGATTTAATGGATGTTCTAGCATCTTCGGTCACCCAGGGGACCAGAAGTAGGGAAAATCCCAACATCCAGGACAGTTAGGTACAAAACCGCGAAGCACGGGGGAACCCTACTTATTTAAATGTCTGGCACGGCTCCCAATTCGTAGGGGAATCCTTTCATCTTCATACAAATTGGGTTCCCTAAGAGCAGCTGAGTTTTAATCTGGTTAAAAACAACAACTCTCTAGCTTGTGGTGTGGCGGGAGTTTTGGTTGCTAGGCAACCCAGAAGATAAAAATTCCATCAATATTCTACTCATTAATTGGAAGAGGTCCTGGCTTTGGCATGCATTCCATATGCAAAACAATCATTTGCCTAATGATGGTTTTCTCTATGTGTCCTCAAGGAGGTACACTTGCTCAGGACCTCAGTGCCAGACATACTCAAAAAGCATCTCACGTCATCTTCGCAGCGACCCCACGGGGAAGGTACTAGATCTCCATCTTACAGATGAGAAAATTGAAACTCAGAGAGGGGAAGTAAATTGTTCCAGGCCACACTGCTAATATTGGGATTAAATTCCACCCGGTTTTGCCTGATTCTGAAGTTTTAGAGCCTAAACCACATTTATTATTCTGCTTCAGCGGTACCAGGATTTAGAAAATGTAGGCAGCAGTTTCCTCTTGGCTACTTAGATGGACTCAGGCATGTGTATTCATCAGTAAAGCAGAGGTAATACCACTTTCTAAAGGGTAGCTGCTAGAAGATTCAAATGAGAAAATCTATATCACATCTTCTTGGCAGACTTTAAAATAACACAGAGATGTGCTTGTTGCTTGTATGTTACAGAGCTGAGCCTCTTGGAGAATTAAGTTTTTAAAAGCTTCCTTTCACGCAGCAGATTACAACTGAAGACAGAAATACAAATATTCCTTTTGGTGGCTACTCAATTTAAAATTTTAAACTCGAAATTTACTCATTCCTGCAGGGGTGATGATCTCTGTGTCCTGACCTGCGATGGCTGGGAGGGGGAGGCAAACCCATCACCAAGCCACCCCTGAGTCTTTACTTTCCAATGGCCAGTCTCTGGAAGACAACAATGATCTTCTAGATCTTCAAATCACTTAGACCAGAATCACCCAGGAGGCTTCCCCGGCCCCACCCCAGAATTACAGGAAGGGACCCGGGACGATGCCTTTTTAATAAGCTCCCAGTTGATTCTTAGGCACACCAAAGTTTGAGGGCCATTATTTTATGTTGTTCCTGAATGGTTTCTGAGTTATCCTTGTTTGTTCACAGGATCTAAGCTTTGTTGACTCCTGGCTGACCGCTGGCTGTCCCTCTATGCTGATCACTGTGTGTGCTTCTGACCCCTCAGTTTGCCCAGGGCAGCAGTGCTGGTGTCCGCGCTCCACTCTGTGTCTAGTCAGTTCAGTTCACACTATTGCTTAGAAGAAGGGTTCTAATCTTAGCTGTGCCTCTAGATAGTGTGATCTTTAATCTTACTAGACCTGTTTCCTCATTGGTAAAACGAAAGTGTTGGACAAAATAATGTGAGGTCCCTTTTGGATCTAAAATGACATGACTCTGTGTGATAAGGAATAGAAGAGGGGATCCCTGGGTGGCGCAGCGGTTTGGTGC